TGGATGGATGGATGTGTGGATGGATGGATGGATGTGTGGATGGATGGATGGATGGGTGGATGTATGTATGTATGGATGTATGTATGTATGTATGTGTGGATGGATGGATGGATGGATGTGTAGATGGATGGATGGACATGTGGATGGATGGATGGACATGCGGATGGATGATGGATGTGTGGATGGATGGATAGATGTGTGGATGGATGGATGTGTGGATGGATGGATGGGTGGATGGATGGATGGGTGGATGAGTGGATGGGTGGGTAGGGTAGATGGATGAATGGATAGGTAGATTACTGGGTGGATGACTTGAACAGATGAAGATGTGGAAAAGAGGAAAAGATTCTGCAGCACCATGCTTCCCCCTTCTTCCAAGGAGGGTCACTTGGAGGTGGTTACCATGGAGCTCTACCCCATCTGCACACTTGTTAGTGTGCCTCATGCAGCCATCATGCCTACATTTGACCAAAGCCAGAACGGAGATAATCCATTCTCTCTTGTAGTGACTGCTCCATGGTGATATTGCTAGGTGTCGTTATTCCTGTGCTCTGAGGAAAGCTGGTGCCTTAAAGTGTTTCAGCCACTTACTCTTTTTAAAAAATCTATATTTTAAGTGTATAAGTGTTCTTGCCTGCATGTATGTAAGTGCACCCATGTGTGCAATGCCAGAAGAGGGCATCAGATCCCTTGGAATTGGAGTTATGTTAGCTTCCACGTGGGTGCTGGAAACTGAGCCTGGGTCCTCTGGTAGAGCAGTCAGTGCCCTTAACCACTAAGCCATCTCTCTAGCCATACAACCACGTACTCTTAACTCTGATGTCAGTGCACAAGCCAACTATGGTGATGCCCTGCAAACACACATCTTGGGGAAGTAGATTCTGGCTGTGCAAGTCCATAGCAGGTCTGGGGATTTGCTTTTTAACATGCCCCAGCGGACAATGCAGGTAGCCTAGGGACATGCTGGGAAACTTCCCACAGAGAAAGGAGGCCAGGGCAGGCAGGGTCTTGAAATGGTCCTGTCTTTATGACCTCAGAGAAGTTCCTAGGTCAAGGTGGGTCAAGGTTCCCATTTTGTGGAACACCCAATGAAAATCATCTCAGTTATTTAGTGGCCCAGGGGACTGAGAAGTGTGACCAGGGTGCTCTCAAGAGCACACACCTGTGGGAATGAGGGAGCGTGGGAAGTGTGGGACAGTACTCAGAATCTATTACCAAAGCCCGGCTTGGTAGCACATGCCTTTAATCCCAGCACTTGCAGGACAGAGGCAAGCAATGTCTGTGCCTACTGCCTGCTGGAGGGAGCCCTGGTCCTGGCTTGGCATTTCTGCTCAGGTTTCTCTGGGGCCTCATCACCTTTGGCAAGTGCCCCTTCCTGAGTGCCTCGTCTGGTAGGAAGAAGTGACCAGCGGGGTACTGTCTCACAGGTGACTTAGGAGACTTGCTGCCATCTCTGATGGAGGAAACACTCACCTCGCAGTGAGTTAGGACAACCATCTCCAGGGCCCTCAGGCCCTATTGAGGTTTTCCTTCCTCCGCAGGTTTCCTCCAGGACCTCCATGTGGGCTGTGTTCTGTGGCTGTTTGCTTTGCTCCTGAGAAAAAAGTATTTGAAACAACCATGTCCACATCCTTCCATCCCAGCAGCTCCCATCAGATAGAGCCTGGAGACTGGGCCCTTCTGCACTGGCCCAGTGACCTCGCTGTGTGTCAACAGTCTCCTTATGACTGCAGCAACTCAGCTTCTTTCCTAAGCTGACAGGAGCACAGACCACAGGGTTCTCAGAAAGTATGCTGGATGCTTTAGTGTCTACTTGACACACCTGGGTTGAGGGAGTCTCAATCCTGGAATTGCCTCTATCGGACTGGCCTGTGGCCATGTCTGAGGGGCATCTTCTTGATGAGTGATGTGGGAGGGCCCAGCCCACTGTGGGTGGTGC